AAAAGTGGAAAAATTCAACGGCTGAAGACCAAGAAATGTTGCAATTGCAATTCACCAATTTAGCTGGCTGCGCCCGCATCTTGATCAATAAAGAGAATTGATTGAGAAATTGTGAAAATAAATTGGAAATGCAAAAGAGGGGGGAAAGCGTGTGTCGTGAGTGGTGAAATGCCAGCAATTAAATGGCAAACAAATTTCCGCTAATTATTTGACATTAATTGTGAGCCATCAGCGAATGAGGGTCAGCGGGAAGGCAGTAGATCCTTTTCAACTAAGAGGAACTCCTTGGAGCTCCTCGCTGGATAAAGGGTTGTTTACCTTTTCGAAAAGCCATGCTGGTGCTATCAGATCACCCATGAATCTTAATCAGCGAAGCGTTCGGTTATGGCGGTTTGCATTTCGCCGCTTTCCCAGGCGTAAGTCAAAAACAATCGAGTTTTCAATTTCCCTGCCACTTCTTGCACATGGAAAAAAAAATTTACAAAATTATATTAATGATTTTTGAACTTGCTTAATAGGAGAGTTGTGCAGTTATCCATAGTCTTCAAATCAATATTGAACAGAATCTAAAGCAAGTAACAATAAAAGTCTTAAGCAAAAATCATCATTAGTAAGCAAAAAATTAGAAAGTATAATATTAATAAATTTTCAAAATTAATTCACAATTATTTGAAAATTGAAATATATATAAAGTTGGTTCTGTGCGTAATATGCATTCATTGGTAAAATCTGTCAAGCGTTTCGTTTGGGCCCACGGAAAATGCCTCAAGAGTCATTGACTTTGGGGCACCAAAACCAAAAAAACGCATCTGCATGCGGTGCAATGGCCGATGACGCTGTCGGCCCAAAACGCCAATCGACCAAGACGCCGCTCTGCCCCGCCCCCCGCCCCCTGCCTAACCAATTAAGCCATGAGAAGCTGCCCCAAACTGCAATCAAAGAAGGCTGGAGGAAAGCAAAAACCTCAAAATGAAACATTTTTCTCGAGGCCCGTGTCCGAGCCTGAAAAACGCATTACGCGATGAGGAAAAGCGGGTTTAGAGCTGTTAGCCGGACTACCTGTGCAGGTTTTTGGCCCCACTACTATTACCACGAAGAAAAGAGGCCGCAAAAAACCAACAGCAACAACAAAAAACGATCATCGCGCAGTCGGGCGAGAGTCGTGAAAATGGTTTTCTTGGCTCAGCATCATCGCATCGGCCGAAAGTCAGTCCCGCCAGACCAGATTTCGTATCGCTGGGGCCGGGGATTACACACTTTGTGCATTTGCCGAGTATGGCTATAAGTTTATGGCCTGACCTCGCTGCGAACCCTTGCCCACCCCCACCCCCACCCCCTTCGATTGATTAAATACACTTTGAGAACAATAATTCACCGGCGTGTCAAGATCATTAAACGTTCGTTTTATTATATTCTGAAAATTAAATGAAATCATTCTTGTGAAAATATGTAACATATTATTCGTTTTTTAAAAAGTCTAAAAAATTTAATGGAATCACACTTATGATAATATTCAAAATATTAACGTGTATTAATTTTTGATATAAATTAATTTTAAAATAATATCTGAATTGTTGTTTAGTCTTTCACCAAAAATATTAGTCCATACTTTTAAATACTTAACGTATAAACGTATAAAAAACTATGAAGTATGGAGATAAATACAATTTTTTATTAATATCTCCTACCAATGAAGACTTAAATAAAAGAAACTGTTAAAAAATAAACTTCTGAAGTTTTTTTTGTTGTAACGCAACGAATCAGTAAATTAAATAGTAGCACATATTCAAAAAGTCTCTTTTCTATTAAAAAATACTTTGTTTTTGACTTGACACAAATTTCTGCCAGTGTATTTGTGACTCTTTATGGGTTGACAATCTTGTAGGCGTGTTGAATCGCGGATGGGGGAGGGGGGAATACAGCGATTGGAAATGGTAATGGGACCGGGATCGGGATCGGGATTGGGATTGGTATTGGGAAGGGGAAGGGGAATAAAAGTCGGGATTGGGATGCACATTTCAAATGTGCAGCGATCTGCAGCGGCTGATAAAGTAAGAGTCGGGCCCGAACCTGTTTAATGGCCAAAAAGCGATCGAAAAACGAACGAACAAAACGACAAAATGAAATGCATAAACGTAAATCTCGCAGCAGGTAGTCCCCGGATGGCCAAGATGGAGGTGGAGGTGAAGATGGAGATGGAGATGGGATGGGATGGGATGGAGATCTTTGGCTGGACCTGCAACATTGCGTTTGATGATGACTTTTCGGTCTCGCCGGCGACAATAAATTTCTCAATTTTCCTTGTGCTCCAGATTGCTGCTCCTGATTGTCCTGTCTGCACATTTTTTTACGCACTATTTGAGCAACACAACAACTGCGCACTTGCCAGGTGCATAAAATGGGGTGAATGGATAATCAGCTGAGGGGCAGGGGCAGATCCGAGGGTTGGGGTTAGGGGAGGATTTCGATTTCTGCGTGGGCGAGTTTCTTGATTTCCCAGGCCAACGAAAAGGGTTTCCAGATTGATTGATCTCGAGAGACTGATGCACTTGCCTGGAAAATTAAATATTTGCATCACTCTTCGGTGCTAGCAGATAAATTTCGAGTTTAATCTGCGGTTGCGAGTGTGTGAAAATTGTTTTTCGCCAGCACCAGCAGAATGCTGACTTTCCAATTGAGTTTTCCGCTTTTTACTTGCCAATTGGCAGAGCTGCGGGTCAAAGGTTGCTGCCCAAAGAAATGCAAGACAATTGCCAAAAGCGGGTGCTGCTGATTGTGATTTTTGTGCAGTGCCCGTGATAAGGAAATGATTTCCCCTCACAAGTAAATAATATGAGATTTGCTCCCCCTGGGCGTGTGTGTATCCGCTGTCCAAAAAAGTACAAAATACACAACAAAGTGCACCCAAATAGTTATCGCAAACAAGCGGAGCCGAGAAAAATGCGTAGACAGCACCGAAAAAGTTCATTGACTTTCGCGCACAGAAACAACAACAGCACGCATCTTTTTAGTGCGTTTATTGCTGCACTGAAAGAAAGCATTGTAGCTCAGCTTCAAAGAGCTCCATTTTAAAATTCGAATTGGTTAATATTGATTTATTATTTTTTTATTTTAGTTTCTAAAATTTTGTTGTAAAAAAAGACGGTGATTTTTGCACTACTTTCAAAACAATAATTTCTTTTAATTTAATATAATAGGAACTAGAAAAGTAGATGTTATGTGATGGTAAATTATAAATAGGTTTTAGTAATTTAAAAATTAAAACAATGACCTTGGTAATGTTACTATGTGACTTATGTAAATTTTTAAAAAATGTGAAAATACTAATCAATATTAAAAAGAAATAGAATGCAGGGAAATATAGAAAAAAGTTTTTATGAAGGTTTAAAAAAGCTAATGAATTTAGTTTTTCGCCCATATTGAAATGAAATTTGTGTATACATTTGTAGTATTGTTTCAAACGGTTATTAAGAAGGTATAAGCACAGAAATTTCTCGAGTGTGCTGTTTTTGTACAGAAATAAATATGGCTGCCCCAACTCAGCGTGTGCACAAAAGAGCAAACTCCAAAGAGTGCACACAAAATTACATTAAAGTGAAAATGAGCGATAACAACGCAAACACAAATGCAGATACAGATACTGGCATAGAAATAGATATGCATACACGCACTAACACAGACGCAACGCAGCGCCACCAGCAGCAGAAAAAAAACAAGAACAGCAACACCCCACCCCTGACCACCTCTTCAGTCCCCCAGGCCCCTAAAGTATCCACCATTCGAGAAAACTGCACGGCCAACACAGCCATATTTATACAGACAAAAAAAAACAAGCTCGCCATAAAAATTCGTTTTTGCTTCGGTACGATCGAATGAACGAGACAGCCTGCTCGCCCCATCTCATCCAAGTGCATTTTGTATAACACTTTTCTGGTTTAGTGGGGTTGGTGCTATTTCCCCTTTTTCAAAGCTGATCTGATAGAAACCGAAGCCTAACGTTGATCCTAAAAGTATGCTATGTTTTCTTACATCCCTTTTCGAAAATGTTTTGGTATAAAATTGTGCTGCATACTTTTTGGGGAGCTACAAAAGTCTACGAAATGTGAGCTGATATATACAGATATTTTATAGCTATTTTTGTTAAGAACAACTTTAGTGTGTAAAAAAAATGCAGTATAAAAAATTATTTAAATTCTTATGCAGTATACATTTTAATTAATAAAAATTCATAAATTTTATGCTTTAAAGAAAGGTAAGGGGACAATGGAAACTAAACTTTAACACAGTTTAGCTTCTCTTACATACATTTGGTCAAACACAGAGAACCAAGTATAAGCCGCTCATTAAACATATTTGGTACTGCGGAAGTACTTTCTAGGTGTTATTCTATATTTAAATCAATTCATCATTCGAACGCTAAATAATCTATAAAGGAACGCCTTTTATTAATGACAAACTTTAGAATCATACAACAAATCATGGGCTGTTATTCGTTCTTGTAGGGCAATAATACTTATGCTTGCATTGATTGCTTAGTTATTTTCAAAGCGATCAAATTCCTTTTTCATTCCCAATTTTGTATTAGAATTAAAGTATATATAGTTTTTTTATACACGATAGCTGAGTATTTTATTTAAAAAGTAAACAATAAATAAGTTATTTTTTAAATTAAAACAAATATTAATACAACTTATGGAATGTTCGCTCTATAAACTAAAAATTAGAGGGTATCCGACGTTCAGCAATATTGATTTGAATAAATATCGAGCCATAAGCTATATTGGCTCACATTGCTGATTTTTGAACAGTAACCTTTATAAACTGCAGTTTATATTTTAATGATTGAAGCGACACTTATTTTCGTGTTCAGGAAGCAGCAAATATTGTACTATTATGAAATCATAAAATTAAAGCTTGAATTCAAAATAAAAAAAACCTTTGATGGTCACAAACATTCAATATTTATTGCAGTCTTCAATTGCAACTCGTTATAATCAGCCATGTATCATAAGGTTATCTTCTTTGGAGTATTTGTACCAGTTTTATTTTTAGTATGCAGCGTAAGATAGTTTTTTAATTATATCAAAATCTTGGTTATCTACATATAACCTCTCACTCAGGAAGCACCCTTTGTTAAAATGACAAACGTTGTCTGTGAATCATACAACAAATCATGGGCCGTTTTTCATTATTGTCGACTGAAGGCCTATTCGCGCAATAAGACCAGCTTGAAAATAAATGCAACGTTTTTACATCCAGCCAATAATGTATCCCTCGGATTGAAGTTGATGAAAAGGGAAAATGGCTATAAGCCATTTCTGTTTGATTTCACCATCGATGCCTGCAAGTTTTTACGAAGGAGAAATAATCCCGTCATCAAGATGTTCTATGAGTTGATTAGAGACGTATCTACGTTGAATCATTCATGTCCTTATGTGGTAAGATAGTCTATTCAAATTCGTCAACTGTGTATTTTATCGTAATTTTTTCTTAGGGCTTGCAGGTGGTAAGCGACCTTCACCGTATTACATTTCCGGTGCCATTTCCATCGGGAGATTACGGACTGTTTTTAGATTTTATATTCGATGGTAAGAAGCAGTTCTGTGTAAATATTTATGTTCACATGGTAGAGGATTTTTAATTGAAAAAATAATAAAATAGTCATCCGATCCGGCAAATGTACTTTTGGGAAAGCATCATCCGGACAGACTTACGTTGGAACGGAAAGATGGACGGACAGACTTGGTTAGATACCCTCTGCAAGGGTATTATAAAATGTATGCCCTTTCTTACAGATTTTTCGCTTCATTCACCTAATTTCTTCATATCGAAAATCAATAAAAATGGTAAAAATGATATTCAGAGTATTAATATTTAAATTAAATATTTGATCATAATATGTAATACCTGTTACATACTTTTCAACTATTACAGTATACCCTGGTACTCTCCAAGTAAAGGGAATACAAATTTGTGTATGACGAAGGCCTTTCAAGTTAAAAATAATTTTGAACTTTAAAAAAGTTTTTTTTAAATTTATTGCTGAAAGAAGACTTAAATAAAATCGAACAAATGGGGTTTGTTTTCGCATTATTTATTGTATTTAATTTAGGATTTAGATATGTTTGAAGTGTTTCGGAAGTGTATTGTGTTTGAGAGCAGAAAATCGGGTGTGAAAAGTGTTCAAAATTATATTTTCGTCCCCTTTGTAAAACAGATTCAACAAAACCTATATATGTAGCTCTAAAATTATTTTACATGTTTGGTCGTCTTCGGTTAGCATGACTAAAATTAAAAATATTATTTAAAATCCAATTATCTTTGGGATAAATACAATATTTATGTGGAACCAAAATTCGTTTGGTTTATTCTTATTTTTTGTACATTTACATTTCTGGACCAAGTTCCGGCTTTTTAATAGAATGTAAGAGATTTTCTTATTTTTTACAGTTTTAACAGATTAAAATTGACAAGTTTAGAGCTCCTCCTTCCCGGACGAGGTCTTTGTGACCTTGTGAACTCTGAAGGCCTCCAGGATGTTCAGCTTCCTCTGGAGCTCCAGCTTCTTGGCCTCTGTGACCTTGCCGGCCTTGAGGCGCAACAGGCGCTTGGTCTCCTCCTCCAGGAAGTCGTACCCCAGCTCATGGATCTTGTGCATGTACACCAAATAGGCCTTGGCACTCTGCTGCTCCTCGGGATTGGCCAGCAGCTCCTGTTTCTCTTGCAGGATCTCGATGAGACTCAGTTGCTCTGCATCGGGCACATTGGCGTAGTTCTTCAGGGCATCATTGAACTCCTTGATACAGCCATCGCGACCGATGTACAGTGGAGTGTTGCTACTGACAAAGGCCTTCAAATTATCCAGTGTAACGTCCATGTGGCTGGGGAGCTGGATGTACTCCTCGACACTGCCTTTGAACAAGAAGATAGCCGGAAAGTTCTTGTCGTCAACTTTGTAACGGTCGCCCAGGGCCTGAAAGAAATCACATTGATATTTTTTATATTAAAAAATTTATAAATATAAACGATTTCTTAAATACTTATTAGGAAGACTGCTTCTAAATATATTTTACAAAACAAATAATACAAATTAAATGCAATTCAAAGTCAGCTCCCGTATACCTAAATAAGTTGCAAACGAATTAGTATTCATTTCGTTTTAAGGACAGTTAAAAGCAACAAAATTTTAAAAAATGTATAATCTTTCTATATTTTTAATAAGATTATATATATAAACGCAGTCTGATCAGGCTATTAAACAAACATTTAGAGCAGGGGTGTTCTTATGCTTATGCACAATGAGCTCACTTGTTTTTGTAATTGCATTTTTGCAATTTTGTTTTTGGATCGCCAATTTGTTTTTGCTCGTTTTTCTCGATTCTACACTGACTTTGTTATTTGTGTGTAAATGTTTTTGAATTGTGTTGGCAAATGCACTACCATAAGTCAGTTCTGAGCAACGCTGATTTAGAGCTTGCTCAGATACAATGTTGTCGTGTGCAAAACACGCACTAGAGTGAAAACTAATGGAAAATGAGGTAATTCAAAAGTATGCTACCCCCAAAATCAAGCCCCACAGTGATCTTGTATATTTTAAAACCTCACCTTGTTCTCCAATTCGCCATAATCCTTGATGCCCACGGTGGCCACTAGTAAATCTTTGGTTGCCTTATGGGCGGCCTTCGAGAAGGCGGCAAAAGCCTCATGTTTATCCCCATAGGGGAATGCAATGTCGAACTTGACAATCGCGTAGGGAAATCGCTCCACAGTCTTCTGGAAGTTAAGCTCATCCAGGTCCACGCAGCCAGTGCAGGATATGGCCCAGGTGGAGGGCAGCGAGTGGAGAGCGGCCAGCAGCAGAGTCACCAAAATCCGCATCATCTTCGTGGCAAAAACAGAGACTTCTGAACTTGACCCTACACTTGCCGGTTGTCAGCGCGGACTGGCTTCAAAACAAGAGAAGAGCAGAGGAGTTTAGACGTTGAGTTGAGTTGAGAAGCGTTTTTCTTCTGGGTTTCAGGCCACTTTTCGCTTCGCTCAGTTGAATTTTGTACGCCTGCCGCGGTTAACTCACTCACCTGTGCTCTCTGAAATTCTGAAATTCTCGGTTTTCTCGGCTTCTCGATCGAGTTGAATGACACGTCAGTTAAGCGGTGGCTCTCTCTCTCGTTTAAAAACTTAAAAACTCAAAAACCGGCTATTCTGTTGGCCACCTCTTGCTGTTGGTTCAGCTGTTTCGGCAACGGCTCTATTGTAACGCTCGCAGGGAGATTTATTATGTAATGCCTGGTGTTCGACGTGTGCTCGTCGTTTTTGACAACCGCTCTCAAATCTAGAAATAATTGTCATCCCAATTTTAGAAAAAACATTGATGCCAAACTGATAGAGAACTCATTTAAGCCAAAGTGATCGTTTGGCCAATAGAGCGTGCCACATGAAGCCCGGCCATTAGGCTTGTCCACAAAATGACAGTGCAAGCGAAGGCTACAGGAAGTGGTAATTTGCAATTGTACAAGAGTGTCTTTTGGAACTACCACTACATTAGAGTACCCTTTAAAATGAACATTTAAGTTCTGAATTATAATTATTTCCAATTCCAATTTTAAATTGTTGGTACAGTTTAAAATTAGGTCGGCAAAAACTATAATACACAAAGTTTTCGTATATTTCGATAATTATAGTTTCTTAAGTCAGGTTTTTATCTATGAAGATACCAACATTCGTTAAAACTTTCGAAAACACTGCCATTTCTAAGACATCTGTATTTAAAGTTGGCATTATTGCGATTTAAATGTTATAAAATCTTCTTATTATTTTAAAAAGGTGTGTCTAGTTAAGAATATCAATATTAATTTTTTTTAAGATTAAGCGAGTAAAAGTTTTATTTTAATATGTTTAGAAAAAAATATTTTTTTTCTGATTTGTTAAAATATATACATGCTTCCAAACATTTTTTTATTTTATTTATTAAGCAAATTGGATTGTTTAGCTAAGATAATGATGACATGATCACGGACCTTTGACTTTAGCTTTCGCTAAAAGCTATATGTTTTGTAGTCCGGTTATTTTTTTCTCTCTTATACTTTTAATAAATTATTTTTTTATTGATCTCTAAAAATAAAGCTTTTAAAATCAGAAGGACTCCTTGAAACCAAAAAAATATTTTTGTAAGATCAATAATAATCGATAAAAAATCGTTGTTATCGAACTTGGTTAAAGAATTTTTCCTAGCCTACTTTTTCAATCAAAAATACTCATCGTTCACCATTAGAAAGTTATAAAAGTACTTGTGCATCAGGCAAAGAATATAAACTTCTTGATCTGATAGCTATAATATTTAATGAGCTAATGCTTGAACACAATTTTACGCAGAGTAAGCGTACTCTTTTTAAGGGGACTGAAGGAAATGAAAACACCTGCTAGTGGATGGAAAAACTAACCCCGTTTGCCATAATTTTCATTAGCCAGAAATTGAAATTTTCCTGGCGCTACCCCCACCCCCTCCCCTTTCCCAATTTCCTTCTCCATCCTCTTTTGTGCTGGTTAATGGACATTTTCGGCAATTGTCAATTAATAATTCATGTGTGCGGCACACATGTTGGCCACCTCAGCCCCTAGTCTTTACCCGATTGCCACTGCCCCGCCCCCTGGCAGCCAAAATAGTTGGTTTAGTTTTTCCATTTGCGGTTTCGTTTGTCCACTCTACGGAAAATTGAACATCACGGCACGCAATTCGGGAAGGAGAAACGGAAAAGCGTTGCGAGCTTCACACGATCGATATGGCCGACTGGTAAATTATCTTTTCTGATGGGTGGGCGTGTACGTCGGAGGTGGGTGGTGGTTAGTGTTTGGTGGGTGGTGCGTCAGGTGCAAGGAAAATCCAACTGGCAATGCGCAATTTCGAAGGGAATTACCTAGAGCCGAGGCGGGGGCTAATGCCTGATGGAGATCCAGTAATGGGGCCTGACATGCGTGTGTCAATCGCACAAAGGCCCGAAATTACCGGATGGCTGGAGGTGCTCTATTTGTATTGCTGACCTCTTTAGCAGCGCAAAAAATGTGGTTTAGTCCAGGTTTGGTGTGTGTGTTCATTCGGTTCATGGCGCACTTGTGTTTGCACTCCATTTATTATGCAACAGAGGGCAAGCAATTTGCTAAGTACACCCCAGCCAAAAGTCCTTCAAAAGAAGTAGGCGGCAGCTATTCCAACCGTCCTTCAATTAGATGCCGTGACGAGCCTTTTATTTTTAACACTTTGCCGCCATGCGTCAGTGATAGCCTTCATCTAATCCAAAACCAATTCTAAACTTTAAAAATAAAAATAAAAAAACAATGCTTATATTTAGACAAATCATAAGAGTTTTCCAGCAAAGAACCTTCAACAGTCCTCCAGTTCATGCAGTGTGCGATCCACATACGAGGCATTAATAATATAAATTGCGCTGCTATTACCTTAGTTGGGGTACAGCGGCACTAATAACACAATGACCTTTACGCGAAACGACCCCTTGGCCCCTCAGGGGGTTAAGGTTGGGGGTGGCACTGAGCAATCGGCATTAAAGTGATAAGCGCGCAAATTTCAGGACCTGGAACGGCTGCAATCTTGGTGGGGAAATCAAACTATTGCGGCATTGTTTTTTATAGCCCACATCTATTGGGTTTGGGACAACGGCCAATAGACAAAGCTAATCGCCTCCCACTGGACAGGTGCTCCATTTGAATACCTCATGGTAAATTAAGGAATGGGGTATACTTGACCGGGAACGCAATTCCAGTATAAGAGCCTTAGCTTAAAACAATTTTTAAAAAATAAAAGTGTTGGCCAAACCGTTGCTTACTTTCTGTCTTTCTCTCCGATCTTTTTGATGCCTACATTTTTGATAGGAATTGTGCCATCAACTTGCAGAAAAATACAATATATAATATTTCGAAGATTTAAATAATATAAAGATTTAAAAAATATTTAAATAGATTTAATAGATATAAGCACATTTTTGGAATTGTGCCATCAACTTGCAGAAAAATATCATATATAATATTTCCTCGATTTAAATAATATATAGATTTAAACACATTTTATGTATTGTGTCATCAACTTGCAGAAAAAAGCATCTTTAATATTTCGTAGACTTACAAGTTTACAAAAGAATTTTTATTTATTAGCATTAAACTGAGGCAATCATCAATCCAAAAGACATATTATTTTCTAATATATTATGAGGAATAGACAATACTTTTCTGTCGAGTAATCCAGTTTTACAGGATATCGGACAACAAGCATGCTTTCGGGACCGCCTTTATTTTTTGGCAGCCGCAGTCTAATTATGTGGCAGCACAATGAAGGCGGACCATGAATTTTTCATGGCCCACGTATGCCAAGACATGCAATGTTGGAGCCAACTGGCCAACTGACAATTTGGATAGAAAATAGATGGAGTTTTGGATTAGGGGAAGGGCTTCTAGCTCCCAACTTGCGTAAGAACCCACGCAATTTCACAGCGTGGAATTTCCCCGGTCCCGTTTATTGTAAACTTTTCATTGGGACACAGGCACTGGTGAAATTGAAGCTCATCAAATTTTTATGCCATGGCATAATTCCATAAATGGGCCATGGAATGACCCACCTGAAAAGGGCCATATGTTCCACCCCCAAAAAAAAAAAAAACACTCCAACCATAATTCGCATGCCCAAATCGAAACTGCCAAAGTCGAATCTTCGGCCAAATGGTCAATAGGCTGTGCTCATCATAATTGGTATTTATTGAAAATGCGTTTTGGTTAACCCGTTGAGTGTTCATAACCGTAACCCGTAACCCGTAACCCCTGCCCTCAAGTCGAGAGAGAGAGAGAGGGTTAAGGGTGCACAGTCGTAGGCCTTGGTATTGTGTTTATAGCTTTTCATTTGCATTTATTGCCATTTCAATACGTGTGGCTATCAGGCTTGGCAATTCGAGGCGTTTAGCGCAAATTTCTTTTCAATATTTGTGCACCCAATAAACCCAAATGGTAAATGGTCAGTTAGCCAGGGCCTTTTATTCGATTTGGTCTTCCAATTTGATTGCAAATTTGCTTTTTCGACTTTTATGCCAACTGCGTGCTGGGAATTTGAGCCTAAGTCGTTGGTGGCTTGAAAGTGGTTCAATCGGAAATGGCTTTCCACTAATCGGCAATTATTTGTCCTGGCCAATTAATCACTAGAGTGCATTATTATGTGTCCTGCGCTAATTACGCTTTTTCAATATTTGTCCAAGGAACTGCTGGCCAAATCAAATATGTTCGTTTGCTTTCATTCGACGTATTTCACTGACAATCGTTTTAATGGTAATTTCTTGAGCGATTGACCAGTTTACCTTTTCTAAGGGAAAATTCCATTAGCACAAGGCCTATTAATTAGCCAAAAAAGAATGCGTCTTAAGTGGAGGGAGTTGGTTGAAGTGGTCATTTAGGTGCTTCGAGTTCGGGGATTTAATTGGGTCCCTCAAACAGAACTTTACCTATTTTGGCGATAATATCTTTTTGGGATAGAGGGAAAAATATTCAAGTACAAACATTTAAATATGTCGGTAGTTATGATTCTTGTTAGTTAAAAGTTATAGTTTTAAAACTTCAGTTCAATCTGGGGTTTAAAAATGTTTAGAAAAAGAAATTATTGACAAATGTTATGACTTTTTAATTTAAACTAATTTAATTTTCAAGGGACGATTTCTCAATATCATGTTAAGTTCTAATATTGCGTTACAAATAACTGTTACTAAGAAATTTACTTCCTTAATATCATGTTGAAGGTTATCTAACTGGTTATGTTGTCAGAATTTCATATCCTTTGAAAATATATCGTTCGAACAAATCGAATTTGTGTTCTCTGAACGATTTGACATTAATTGCGAAACCTTAACAAGACTTTGAGAAATCGGGCCGAAATCGTTAAATTTTTATCAAAGTATCTTGGAAAATTGTTTCTTTGTAGGATCAGTTTTCTATCGTTCTAAAGCATTCTCTCGCTGACCATTTTCCCAAAGTATATCCTCGCAGGGGAAACGAAAAGCCTGGTATAACAGTTTGAGAAGGAAATTCAAATGGCGCACGCGTCGTCTGTGCTCCGAGTAAAAGGACTTCCAATGCGTTAGGATATTAGAGCCATCATATCCGGGGTTGGGCATTTGTTTACAAACAAATGCAGAGCGCGCAAAAGGGTAAGCTGCATTTTCCCAAAGCTCCCGCCCATGCAAATATTCCCAATAATTACCTCAACTTGTTGCTTGTCCGTTTTCCGTTCTCCGTGGGGCAATTACTTAACCGAGTGGGTGGGCA